AGCAGGGAGTTGGATGGGAAGCGGGGCTGCCAGGATTAGAACCAGCACCCATATGGGATCCCAGCGCATGCCAGGCAAGGACTTTAGCCACTAAACTACCATGCTGAGTCTAATATACGAATCCTAAAAAAACAAATCCAGGTTGAAGTAATAAATTAATGTCTACTATAAGTATTAGAATTTAATAGGTTCATAAATTCCTATCAATATTCTGGAAAAGGTCCCCAAACACATTTAGTTGCTAAACTTCACATTGCAAGTTTTATTTTCCATGAAAATACATTTGCTCATTCACATGTAAAGTGAAGGAAATGAAGTAACAGAAATGATACACTAAATAGCAGAATGATGGAATCTGACTGTTTGAAGACTATATGATTGTAATAATACAGGAGAAATCAGTGGGGGAGAAAGAGAAATGGGGAAGCCGAGAAAGAAATACTCCTAAGCCTATGGAACTGTATTTAAAAAAAAATGCCCACAAGAACTGGGGTGGGGCCAGACAGATGCCTGGAGTTCAGCACTCCATTATGGTCCCATACGGGTGCAGCAGAAACAGAAGCACTTCATTACTGTTTGCTGCTTCTTGGGTACATCAGCAAAAAGCTGGAATGGAAGCAGAGTAGCCAGGACCTAAGGTAGACACCCAACAGAGAGGGTGAGCATAAAAGGGGCATTCAATCCAGTGCACAATGCCTGCCCACACACTAAACTTTAGAGCCAAATTTCAACCTGGGCCCTCTAATTCAGAACATGTAGACTGAACTTGAACCCTATCTTACACTATGCATACATTCTTATGACAACTATCTATGTGGCAGCAGTGAGAAGGTGGCTTGGCTTTAACAACATGAGCATTTCTTGGTGGCTGAAAAAGCAGCACTCTAAAATGTACAGAAATAGATCAAGTGTTACATGAAGGAATCAAAAATGACAGCTAAAGAAAAGTTTATGTAACACTAGAGTCTTGATCTTAGTTTGTGTATGGAAAGAAAAATAAACCATTAAGATGTTTATACCATTTGCTGAAGCCGTTCTTGATAGAACCACATCTTTTGGTTTCACTGACCAGTATCATGATGTAAAGATATTTGTAATCAGTGCACTGTTTACTTTCAAAATGTTTGTTCTTTTAAGAAGCAGGAAGTGCAGAGGAAGAGGTAGAGGCAGGAGCTGGACAGAGAGCTAGCTCCCATCCACTGGCTCATCCTCACGTGCCCTCAACAGCTGAGGGTGTGTTGACGTCAGAGCTAGGAGCACAGGTCTCCAGCATGAGTGGAGGGAGCCAACCACTGGGAGCCATCACTGCTCTCTCCTAGGATCTGCATTCAGAGCAAACTAGAGTCTAGCGTTGGCAGTGAGTATCAAACTCAGCTAATCCAATATGAGCTGTGACTACTAGTGAATACCTTAACTGCTAATCTGTATACCCACCACTGTGCAGTATTTCAGCATAGGAATGAGTAGGATAAAAGATGACCATAAATTTCACACATACTGGAGAAAAGAAACAGAAAACCCAGGACTCAATATGTAAGTATTTTTGTCAAGAAATAAAACTGGCAATAAAATGCTCTAGGTTAAAAGGAAATGATTCCTGGGCAGTCATGCAACAAGATGACTCACCTACTGTAAAAAAAAAATGAGGACAACTATATAAAAGTCACATTTATGATCTTGAAATTTTTTGCAGACATAAGAAAATCATTAAGATTACTTTGTTAGTATAAATAATTACATTGCTTATAAATTACTACATGAAATAAAAAGTATCCTAACAGGCAACAAAAGGTAAATTGTCTTAAAAAAACTTTCTATGAATTAAGAAGGCAAAACATTAACCTAAATATTCACTAAGAAAGGAATTAACTAATAAAAAGTTGTAAAATAATACACTGGAATGATATATAGTAACTAAAGTGATAGGCTAGGGTTATGTTTCAACATAAACAGATTTTAAAAATAGGAAATTTTGCTTGAAAGGAAAATTATAGAAAAAGTGAGTAAAATGGCACTTAAGCAAATTCAAATATGTGAAATATAGTTCTATTCTTTATGGGTACATATGTAAAAGTTTAGCACCTTAAACACTTTGAAACACCGCTAATTTGATTAGGATGTTTGTCATAAGGAAGAAGGAAAATTCCCAAAGCAAACAAGTTGTTTTCATTAGTTGGAATAAAGTATGTAATATTATCCTTGATTTCAGTATTACATAATGGTTATACAATGTTTTAATAATTTGAAATATTTGAATATTCTACATAAAAGTTTGCAATAAATTGCTTCAAAAATGACTTCTATTTATCACAATATGAAAACAGCTTTATTACAAATAAGAGTCTCACAAGCTTAATGTACAATTTGACAATTTCTATTTACTCAGAGTTGTGAACAGCATGTAAAAAAAAAATCACCTGCAATGCTGGCTTTCATGTGGGCACCAGTTCATGTTCTGATCCAACTTTCTGATCCTTTTCCAATCCAACTTATGAATGATGTGGGGAACTGAGTGAGAAATGTTGTTGGAGCACCTGCTATACATGTAGGAGACCTGGGAGAAGTTTCTAGCTTTGGCCTGGTTTAGCTTTGGCCTGGTTTAGCTCTGGCTGTTCTGGATACCTGGGGAGTGAATCAACAGATGAAGTCCCATCCCTTCTGTCTGCCTGTTTCTACATATCTCTTCAAAATAAATCTTTTAGAGCAAGTAATAATTTTTTAAGTGCTATTTTAAGTGCCACTTTGCCTCCTTATAGAAAGCCTTTCTAGGAGATCAATGCTTGCATCTCACTTTGGACATTTTGGACAAAAAGCAATACACTCTATTTCTAGATTTATAAGTCCCATGTGTAATAGTGAGCACGAGGAGGACTGTCTTGATTGAACTGTAGATGAGAGTTAAGGAATCAGGTAGAAACAGAGAAACTGAAGATCCAACCACACTAAGATTTCATTTTCTAGAGACTTACAAGTGCTTTTTTAAATGGCATACTGGCTTAAATGCATGCCAACAGTTACCCAATCCCACTTTAAAACCTTTCAAGATCCTTCATTACTCCTAAAGTCAGAGGAAATTCTGTAATACAACTTATCAGCCATGCTGGCCAACTTCACTTGATCTCTCCATCCTCATTTTTGCCCACCAATTCTCTCACTCCAATACCCTAACTCATAGTTTTCTGTATTATACTAAACTCTGTATCAGCTGTCCCATTACAACTCTTTTGCTTGGATACACCTATCATCTATTCTGTAACCTCCTTCATGAGGGCAGACATCATGTTTGGGATCATTACAACCTCAATGCTTGGAACACAGTAGATGATCCATAAACACTGAAAGAAAGACAGGTGGGATGTCAAGAACAAAGAAAAGGGCAGACAGCATGTACAGATACTTGATACAGAATCACTAAGAATGGCATGAGTGGTACTAAGGAGAGAAAATATCTTTAGAATCTTCCCATGTGGCAATACAATAAAAGGGTGGGGGAAAGTAACAGAACAAAATGCTTCATTGATTTCACTGGTTGAAATGAGTCAAGTCTTCATACCTTCTTGATCATTAAGGATCACCACACACTTACTGTGAACCAGATGCTGATGAAAACTCCACAATCTACAGGTTTCGTGTGACTTGTAGATGTAGCCACCCTCTGTTATGATGGCTAAGCTCAGGGCATGAATGCCTTACACAGCTGGTTGATTCTTTACACCTACTGTTTTATATAAGATATGATTTATATAGAAGGTACAAAACCACATTGTTACATAAGCATGGAAATTAAGAACTCATGCCATGATGGGGAATGTGGCAACAAAGGTTCGAGGGTATGGGTGAGCCTATTGAGCTTTAATATCCATTTTTCCCCATTGTGCTCTAGAAAACAAAATGTCAGCATCACTGGACTCTACTAGGGATTTTTCTAAGATTCTATTTTCCACAGTGACTCTTGTCAGATTATCTGAAATATGCCCCGAATTGTTAACAAAACTGGAAGAAGTTTAACAGAGGGCAAAGCCTTGTTAACAAAATTCTAAAACTGTCAGGTAGCTCCTATGCAGTGGAGGATCTTGGAACCTGGTCTGGAAGCTGTCTGTCAAGCCCTGAAAATCTGTTGGACTCCCCAACTCGGTACAGAGTGTGGCTTTCTTCAAAAACAGCAATATTGCAGCTGGCATCATGGTGCAACAGGCTAAGCTTTCACTTGTAATCTTGGCATCTTGTATGAGAACCTGCTCCTGTCCTCTAAGATAAATAGAATTTGAACTTTTATTCCATCACTACATATTTTATATTCAAAGAAATAAGCACACAACATTTGCCATTCTTACTCCTTGATTCTTATTAACAATGCAGAATATTTTGAAAATACTGGGGTTTCTAGTACAATGGAGATCCTCTGTGTTATCTTGTATTTTAAACATAATCTGAGTGTCAGTATTGTGCATAGCAGATAAAGCTGGCGCATCCCTGCATCCATACAGCAGGAAAGGTTTAAGTCTCAGCTGCTCTGCTTCTACACCAGCACCAATAGGCATGCGTAAAGCGGGAGACAATAAGAAGGTAGTTGGCCCAGGTTTTGGTGGGAGACCAGGATGCAGTTCCTGATTCCTGGCTTTGGCCTAGCCCAGCCCTGGCAACTGTAACCACTGGGAAGTTAACCAGAAGATGCAAGTTCAACTGTATTTCTCTTCTCCATTTTCTCCTTTTTTCCCACCCTGCTCTCCCTATTACTCGGCCTTTCCCATAAAAAAAAAATACATAGAAGGGCAGAGACTGTGGAAATGACAACCCTGCATTTAATTCTCAGTCAAGACAGGTTTCCCTTGTACTATCTTAGGGTGTAAATGAAACTTTATATCCACAATTGCTGTCTTTCAGATTGGGCGGTTCTACTCATAAGTCTCCAAGAATAGCAGGACGGAGAGAAATCACAAATGACAGGATATCAGCCCAAGCTAATGCCGCAGACAGGGGAAGGGCGACAGAACACTTACTGGTAAGTGGTCGGGCTGACGTTGATGCGCCGAGGGTGACTTCCTGATTCAAATTTGCTTGCCAGAGTGACATTATTTCCAAACAGGCAATATCTTGGCATTCTCACCCCAACAACTCCAGCTAGCACAGAGCCTGAGTGAATCCCTATCCTCATCTAAAAGGATGAAAAGATAAAGATAATTATTTTAGTTATTTTCAATTGAATAATTAAGCCAAAGATAAGCACTGAATTATGGTTATTTGTGCTTATTTTCATAAAGTGTATACATTTCATGTATTCCCTCCACCCCAGTGGTTTTTTTTTCCTTTTGCTTCACAGTCATAAGCTTAACACTTTAATAGATAAGGACATCATTACATGCCAAGTAGAGGGAAAAAAAGATAGAAATTTTAATACTCGGGAATATTGCCACAGGTTGTAAATAATACTTAAATCAGATGTTAATCTCACTCATAGAAAGCACATCTTCTGTGCTATGTGTATTAGTTGTTACAAACTAAACACTTGCCTTTTGGAGACTGGCTTATTGCACTAATTATATTGGTTTCCAACTAGATCCATTTGGTTGCAAGAGACAAGGTTTCTTTCCTTTGTATGTCAGAATAGTACATATAGTATCCATAGCATATCTGTATCACATTTTATTTAGTCATCAGCTGATGGGCTTGTGGTTTGTTTCCAATTCTTAGCCGTTGCTAATTGCACTGTTATAAACATGGGGTTTATATGGTTGTTTCATTTGATTTGGATATATTCCTGGGAATCAGGTGGCTGGGTCATATGGTGGATCTATTTTCAGAACTCTGAGGAATTTCCATACTGGCTTTGATAATGTTGGCACTAGCTTACATTTCAACCCACAGTGAATTAAGGTATGCTTTTCCCTATATCCTCACCAACATTTATTGTTTTCTGATTTCTGTATGACAGCTGTTCTCACTGGAGTAAAGAGGAATGTTAATATGATTTTTACTGCATTTCCCTAATAGCTAGAAAACCTGGGTATTTTTCATGTGTGGCTAAGCTATTTAAATTTCATCCTTTGAAAAACACCTGCTCATATTCTTAGCCCATTAACTGGATGGTTTGTTTTGCTGTTGTTTGGAGTTGTGCAGTTTGCAAATATCTTCTTTCTATTGGTTGTCTCTTCAGCTTATTGACTTTGCAGCACGGAAGCCTCTTAGGTTTATGTAATTAGATTGATTATTTTTTCTCTCATTGCCTGTGTGTCTGGGGCCTTTTCCAAGAAGTCATTGCTATGTGCATGTTTTGCAGGATGTTCCTTGAAGTTTCCCTCTGGTAAATTGATGGTATTGGGGCATAGATTTATATCCTAGATCGACTCAGAATTGATTTTTGCATAAGGCATAAGGGGTCTTATTTCATACTTCTGCATATGTGGACCCAATTTTTCAAGCATCATTTGTTGAAAACACTGTCTTTTATCCTTAATTTCGTTTTCTTGCCAAAAATGGCTACAGATGTGTGGGTGCATTTCTGGGACTTTCATTGTTTCATTGCCCTTCCTGCCTATTTTAGTGCCAGTACTGGGCATTCCTGATTACAGCTGCCCTGTAGTATGTCACGAAGCCTAATATTGTGATGCCGCCAGCTTTGTTCTCTTTGTTTAAGAGTGGTTTAACTATTTGGGCTCTCTTTTGTGTCCACATGAATTTTAGCATCCTTTTTTTTTTTCTGTATCTGAGAAGAATGTTGTATATATTCTGATTGGGATCACATTGAATCTATGGATTACTTTCAGCGATATGAACCATTCTGATGATATTCTACAGATCCACAAATGCAGGAAGCCATGCTGTTGGGTCAGAAGGCACGGTGCATGATGAGCGCAGCTCTTCAGTTAGCAAGGCTAGGAGGAGTTTCTGGCTGTGTGGCAAGGCCCGGCAGAATATCTCTAATCACCTCATTGCTGCCCCACCCATTGTATAGACACCCATTGTATAGACACTCTGTTTCATAGAATTCTCCTGCGGGTACTGTTGTTTCTCTGTAAATGTGAAATCATTCCTGTAACTGGTGTAACACCTCAAACTGATCAATCATGTTATGGTAAAAGTGTCTTTAGCAACTTAAGGCAATGACACACAGCTAAAAGATTACAATGATACAATTGAGCCCACAATGTCCCCAAACATTCTGTTATGTGCCCACCTTTGTCCTGGAGCTTGCCCTGATACAAATAATGTTTTCCTTAAGAAATGGCTTGATAATATCTTGGAACAGATGGCAATCATGGAGGTACAAAGAGTTTATTTACCATGCAGCATTGAACTGTTACACATTTTAGTTTCTCATCATGGAAAGCAGAAAATATATGGAGCATTTTCTAAAGGCATACATATGTGAACCCCCAAAGAAAAATGGCTGAAAACTCTGACCTTATATTGGCACTTATATTTAGAGAAAAAAAAAAAACAGTTTAAAAAGATAAAGTTTCTTGTAAAGGCCCTCTGTAGAAAGACTGAGTTGCCTGGTCCTTTTCATTGCCCTTTAACAAAAAAAAACAAAAAAACAACTGAATCAGTATGAGGTGAAGGTGATGGTAATTAATGTAATTGATTAAAAGATTTAGTAAAGAATCTATGATATATGCTTTTATAAATTTTTCTTTCATAGGCTTTCCTTTCTGTATTCTTGATATCTTATGCAATATTAATTTAGGTTTAGTGAAAATTGATTTTGGATATAAGAAAACCACCTGTCACTATTTAACTATATGTGCTACCAACCATGAAGTTCCTGGTTTCAGCTAGGTCACGGCAGGTTTGAATCAGTAATAGCTTGCTGAAAATATTCTCTGAAGTAAAATGTTTTTTATGATTGTTTTTTTGTAATCATTCTTCAATAGTGAAGTAAAAATGAAACAACTTGATGCTGTGCAAAATCTTGCGATGATTTCTGTATAAATAAAGAAGGCAACCTTTCTGAGTTGTCCATTATGAGCATCATGCTGTAGTGGTCCATGTCGTCTCCCTCCTCTTGTCTTCTTGCCGATCCACACATCCTCTGCAAGCTCTCAAGTCAGCTGGAGCTGGTCTCCAGCACACAAATATGTCATGTTTTTTCCATGTTTGGGTTCCACTTCTATTTCTTTCTTTAGTGTTTTGTAATTCTCATTGTAGAGTCTTCACATCTTTGGTTAAAATCTTTTAAAGTATTTAATTTTTTTTTTTTTTGCTGCTATTGTGAATGGAACTGATTTTACTAGTTCTTTTGTATAAGAAGGCCATTGATTTTTGTGTTGATTACCTATCCTGGAACCTTGTTATAACATTGTATGGGTTCCAAAAGTGTCTTGGAGGAGCCTTCTTTGCCTTATATAGAGAATCGTGACATATGCAAACAGGGATAGCTTGCTTCCTTCCAATTTGTATCCCTTTGATTTTTTTTTCTTGCTTAATAGCTCTAGTAAGGACTTCCAATGCTGTATTGACTAGCAAAGGTGAAGGTGGACATCCTTGTTTGATTCTGGATCATAGTGGAAATGTCTCCAACATTTCCCCATTGAATATGATGATGTAAGCTCAAACACTTTGACAGCACTAGCTGAGTTAATTGAATTGCCTTTGTTCAGCTTATTAGCAAGGTGTATCATGATTACCATAGTTAAACCATCACCACATAACAGATAAATCTCACTCGGTCTGAGTGAATGATCTTTCTTATGTGTTGGATTTAATTAGTATTTTCCTGAGGAATTTTGCATTTATATTTATGAGGGATACTGGTCTATAATTTTTTCTTTACTGTGTATATACACTTTGTTTTTGGAATTAAAGTAGTATTAGAAGGAGTTTGGAAGGATACCCTCCCTTTCAATTGTTTTGAATAGTCTGTGAAGTATTGGAGTTTGCTTTTAATGTTTGGTAGAATTCTATACAGTGAAGTCTTCCAGTCCTGGACCTTTCTTTGTAGTGAGACACTTACTCATTCAATCACTATCTTAGTTATTAGTCTAGTCAGATTTTTTATGTCATCATGACTCAGTTTTGATAGACTGTATGTGTAAAGATTATGCATTTCTTCTAGATTTCCAAATTTACAGCTGTTGTAGTAATTCCTAATGATTTCTATTGTTTATTTCCCTTTACTGATCTGGGTGTCTCCCTCTTTTTTTCTGGTTAGTTGGCCTAATGGTGTATTAAATCCTCCCTCCTCATCAGCTCCTCAGTTCACTGAAGCAATGCATCCTTTTGTTTGTTTGTTTGTTTCAAATATTTCTTTGCCAATTTTAATTATTCTAATTTTGGATTTTCTAGATCCCTTGAGATGTAAAAGTTGATGTATGCTATATGAACATGCTTATTATCAGTTAAGTCAGGTTTCATCTTTACGTAATATGCTGTAATACATCGAGCTGTATTATCCTTTATTTTTTTCTTCTAGGTACTCTCATAAAACCTTACTGTTCCTGCATAGTTAAATGCAATTGTAAATTACATGTTTTATTTTGCTGAAACTTTAGTTTTCTACAAGCAAAGTGTATACATCTATTTTGTTACTGCTTAATACTCACTTATTATAGGATCGATAGCAAAGCAAGTATAAAGACATCTAATCAATGCATAAATGTAATACGAGGAGATAGACTGATGGATCAGATGTCAGACAAAACAGTTGGCATTTCAGATAAATGAGAGAATTTTGCTTTTCCATGGCAATGCTCTGTATCAACTCTGTCTTCATATGGGAAAAAAGAAATAAGTAATTAAGGAAATCAATGTGGATGGCATGAGTTTACAGCCTTAAAATATTTATACTAATTAAAGAAATGCAAATCTGCAGAATCAGTAAAATCTCAAAATATAGACACTTAAAAAGCATAGATTTGTTATTTGTCATAACAATCCTTTGGTGAGCGTTAAAGATTGACAGGTAGGTGGCTCCATTTTCCCCCAGACAGGCAATGAGCTGGTCTTTTTACAATGTATTTCTCTCACATATCTAAGCACATGTTAGGAGCATCCCTGTGTTCCAGTCATAGGATATGGGAAGACAAACAGAAGTCCAAGATAAAGGAGCATGAAGTTCTCATTTGAAGTAATCTTCAGGGTTTAGTATAGATCCACCTTTCACTTGGACTCATTTTCCCACTGCCTGAAGGCATTTTTTTTGGTTGTCTCTAAAGGAAG